ATTTTCACCACAACAGCCCATATTCCACCCAGATAAGTAGATCCAAAATTGAAGCAACTTTAGTCTTATTGCAGACAATGAAAACACTTGAGTTGATACAAACCAAAAATGAAACAGTTACCCTTACAGCAAGCAACACGGAGCAAAATAGGAGTGTTTAAACTTTAAAACCTTTTCTTAACTGTGTTGAATGTGTGTTCACTTTGGCTTTTTTGGGTACCCATGTTTTTATGTATTTATTTATTTATCATAATTTATGTGAATTTGGACCATTTCTCAATTCATGCGTGTCATCCTTTCACAGAGCCCATGCTAATCTTCTCTGCATCGTTCCAATTTTGATGGATGTCATTTCATTTGTCCTCGCAACTCCCCTTCTACTGCGCCTCTCATGTGCAAGGCTCTCCACGTTGATTGTGCTTGAGCGCGAGCTGCCCACATCCCCGTGTGCCATGACGACCCACTTGCACATTATGAAAGGAGGCAGAGTAAAGGCGGAGGTATATTCCTGTCCGTTTTTTCGTCAGGTATTCATCTTATATTTTGTCTGTTCTCTTAATGATGCTCATCTGTATGCGTTTAGCGGTAGTACAGAAGAGGAGGGAGAGGAAGTAAATAAAGGTGTGGATTTCTCACAGGGTTCAAAATACTCACCACTGGAGCAGACTACTCTAGAATAGCACATGAGACCAGTCAATGTTTGGGTTGCATGGTAAGTGGCCACCCCTACAGACCAGTCAGTAACTGTTCGGGTGTGGATTGTGGGAGCACCGCATCCAATTCTCGCAGTCGCTGTTGCTGCATCGAATGGCACGGTGTAGACAGATGTCACAGGCCATGTGGCTCTACATGCTAGGAACATGGAGGCATGCCGACTGCAATTGTAGAGGCATTGCCGTTCCCGCCCCTGTCTACAGACTGGACACGACATGTTAGGGTGTCGTACGTAAGTGCAGTACTGACTGTCATCATACGTATCAAAACTGAAACTCGCATGGGCTATCCCTTCATAACCCTCACGGCACAAGGCATGTGAACCACATGCTAGTCGAATCTCAGGTGGGGCATCACAGAGTGGTATTGAGCAGGTTTCCCCAGAATTGATTCCTTCTCTATGGGCAGATGACGGGGATTAATCCAAAGCCAGGGTGTTCAGCTGCTGCAGGATTTGGTCTGGAACAGCTCGCACTGGTGGTGATAACCTTTCACTACAGCGCTCTGTAGGTGGTTCATCTGGTAGTCTATTTTCCTCCTCAGGCTGCTGCATCTGTCGTTCATCTGGCAAGGGTGAGGGAGATCCTACTGCCATTGCATCAGGTGTGTGCCCAACATTGCATGTGGGACATGCTAAGAGAGGGTGTGGCATGGGGAATAGTCTATGCAGTAGAGACACATACTTTCTATGCAAGCTACCTGGAAACATCGATGGCACATGGCATGTTGCTGCCATGTCAGCAGGAAAGCAGGATGACGTTCACAGCTATTTAGCCATGGCATGTCGAGGCCACGGCGGCATACTGGGCAAGTAAATAGGGAGTGGGAGGGATGAGTACAAGGCAAAGAGTCACAGTTTTCACTGCAGCGACTCGCAGTGACCATCCCTTCGTAATGTTGGGAGCAGAGACTATGCGGTGTGCATGCTAACTGAGCTGTAGCTGTGTGATGGCAGAATGGGATGGCACAGCCACTGTCCTCTGGAGAGGCTCCTTCACTGTCCATGGTAGACTCCGTCCGATCTACACAGGGAGGGGACGCTACCTGGCCATGCATAGGGGGAGGAGGAGGTTCAGCCGGATTGCTGTCTGGAGGTTGTAGAGCTTGCGAGTGCACAATGACGTAGTGTTCCTGATGGTGCAACGTACCACTCATATTGTCACTCCAAGCACATGCATCATGAGAGTTCACACAAAGATCCACACCGGAGTCCAGAGATTTTGAGACCAGATTAGCGCAGCTCAAAAACTTCAATGAGTGATCTCATTATACAATGCCAGAGTTCACGTCACCGAGCGCTAATCAGCGCATCCTCCAGCATCATCAACCAAAGTAACTCGCTCTCTCCTCTCTCTCTCTCTCCCCCACTCTGTCTCACTCCTCTCTTGGCTTGTATCACTCAACCCCTCTGCCTCACTCTCTCTCGCTCTCCCTATCACTTGAGGATCAACTCTGGATACATCCGCCTGCTGCCCTAGCTCTACTACACTCTACAGCCGTGCGGCTATGGCCGCCTGTCTGCCTCAGCACAGTGCTGCCCAACAGGGCACTTAGCGCTCAGCCACTCGTGATAGTGCACAAGCACCAGCAGCGCTTCCACTTTCTCATGAATGAGCAGTCTGCCCAAATGAGTCAAGGCCAGTTTCTTTAATTGACTTGGACTGGGCTTTGCTTCACTTGGCCTGTGCGTGCCTGGTTATGGGTCTGACTTTGACTGGTACCGGTCACCCGCGGCCTGTTTGCTTTTGGAATATTGAGGCCCGGTACCTTCCAGACTTTCTTGGTGTGCTGCTGCATTTTTGACTGAGGAGACTTGACTTGAGGCTGGGTACCAGCCGAACTTTGACCCTGTGGGGTTCCTGACACGACCACTTTCTGTTTCAGCCTTCTCGGCCTCTTTTGACTTAGGGACCTTTGGCCCTGAAATTCGAATTTGGGTTTTGCGGCGTGAAAACTATAATGAAGCCTGCAGATTCTCAGTGGACTGTACATTGGGCCGAGGGCGAAGCTTGGGGCTTGCCTCGGTCGGGTCGCGTCTAGGGTAGATTCGTAATTTTGTTTGGCTGAGGGCTAACCGAGAGACCTACCTGTAAGGAAAATTCGTGAGGGACATATCTGCAAATTCGGACAAATACAGGCCCGTACTAACTGAATTTCCTACAGCTACCCTAACTGCGAATAGCAGGCCCGGGATACCCCTAGGACAGCCAGGCCCTACAGGCCTAAGCTGATAGACGGTCCTATAGCCTATAGCCCGGTTGGGAGAGGCCCTAGAGGCCGAAACAGAATCGGTACCGGTCAGTCAGTCAGTCCGGTCTAGGTCCAGTCTAGGCTAGTTTAGACTATGGATAGGATGGGCACATCGGTTCAGGGCTTTTGGCAGTCCGTACCGAGTACATTGCTGCTGCGCTACGCGTGAACCGGAAGTGGTGACGGCTCAGCGTGGAAGGAGACAGGCATAGCCAGACCTTTGGAGCGCCGGCCATAGCTGGAACCTGCGCTGTACTCTGCCAGCACGTAGGGGCTGCCAGAGGTCTGGGCTATCGAGGTCTGCTGCAGGTGAGAGAGGTTGGTGCCCTGCTGGACTCTCCTCCGGAGTGGGGTTCCAGGGTGGTGGCACTGCAGCCATAGCTGCAGCTTCTTCCTCAGAGGTCATCTTGTCAGGGTTTGGTGGCGCGGCTGCAGACTTCCATCCGGGAAGTCTTCCGACGCTTTGTCATCATCAGATACTGTGGTGCTGGTCTTCTTCTTCATCCTCTGAGTGGCGCTTGGCCTCAGAGGCCTGTTTCAGGGCGGCGCTTCCCTGTGGAGGCTGTATCTGGATTGCGCTGATGTTTCAGGGGCTCAGGGGTGTTACGGGTGCTAATCAGGGTTGGGGAGTGAAGCGCTGCTCACTTCTGGGAAGCGCACTGTAGTACTGAAGTTATCCTGACAATTCGAGACTCTGAGTTTAATAAACAGTGTGTAACTGGGTTTGGGCTATCATCGTTTCATTGTTTCCTGGATGTGATCTACTCGGCTTTTCTTTATGGCTGGTTGTGAGGATTGAGTGGAGTGAATTGCACTTTCAGTGTACCCTGTCATATCGCATGGTCAAGTCTTCCGCTGTGTTTATCTCTCCCTGTGCGGTGTGATACTCCTATCCTCTCCCCTTCCTTCTGTGTATGTATGGGCATACCTGGAAGTCTATGTGAGTGAGTGTTGGTCTTCAGACAGCAAACAACCAGAATCATAACAAAACGGCCTTTCGATGGACAAGAGTAATGTTCTACTGCTTGGTGATAGCAAGAGTTAATATTTCCTGCTGTGTGCACCCTACTGCCGTTGTCTCATAGGGTCCATTAGTTCTCTGCAAAGGTAAGAGTAGTGAAATGACCTGGACGATGTAGGATGTATGCACAAACATTTGGAGCCATGCCTGGCATGTGATTCTGTGGAGTAGGCTGGAGTTGTAGTTACCTACCCATAAATGCCACGGACAGGACACCGTCTGCAAAATCAGAAAAGTATAAGGGTTGCAATTCGAAGCGAGGAGACATACATTCATGGCATAGTACGAACAGTACGTACATTGATGACATTGTACGCACAGTAGCCTTGCTGTAGCACTATGATATCATCTGATTCTGCAGGTTGTGCAGCAGGGGGAGGTTTATCCAATTCAGCAGATTGCACGGCAGGCGGGGATTCATTGTGGTCTTGACTATTTCTGTCAAGTTCATCCGGCTGTATCAACTCCATTGGCTCTAGTATGCGCTCTGGAGAGAGAGCATCTTCAGTCGCGGGCTCCATCAGGTGATCCGAAGGTGGATCATTGTCAATTGGGGCGGGGGAAGAAGCAAGGCTAGGTGGATGAGAAATGGGTGGGTCAGATGCAGGAAGCACAAGCTGATCAGCCGCACTTGTGCTCAGATTGACTGCCAGTCGGGTAAATGCCGCACAGGTAGCTGCACCTCGTGTCTGGTGCACCTGCCGGCCTGCAGCAAGAAAGAAATCATCGCCACACTGCGGGCATCGGACTCGATATGTACTATTCATGGCTAATGTATATTGAGAGCGACCATGTCATACTGTACGGTTGCGAGCATATCGTCGGAGCAGATCTCTAACCCCTGCAGGGCGCAGGGTGATCATGCTATTCAAGGACAAACGAGGCCGCTGTCTTGGAGGCAGCGGTGGAGACGGGGCACGTCTCTGCGGAAGAGGTATCTGTAATGGGCGATGGATGCCTCTGCCGATGGGGCATTTGTGACAGCTCATCTGACCATGAATGTGTTGATGACGAGGTCGACGACGATGAAGGGGAGGCATGCGAGGTGGAGGATGAAGAGGAGGAGGAGGAAGAGGGAGAAGTGGAAGTGGAAGAAGAGTTGGCAAATGACTGGGGGGATGATTTAGTAGAGGATGCCAGTGAGGGAGGTGGTGGTGATGGTGGTCGTGGTGGCGATGATGATGGTGGGAGTGATGACGGTAGTGGTGGAGGTCAAGGTGGAGGTGACGATGGTGGCAGTGGAGGAGGTATACTTTCAGCAGCAGTCGCCGTATTGGTAGGATGCAGGCCTTCATCCCCTGCAGCCATTAGGACAATGTTTACATTGTGTGTTGTGGATGGCATTGTTTCCAGCTGAGTTGGCATATCCGCATTAGCATCTGCCATTTCTGTAGAATAACACGTGGGCCCACTGCATTTGCTTGTGTGGAGGGTTGATGCTGCCTGTGGTCAGAATTGGTGTCAGGGAGTGGGTGGTGGCCTGTTGCATGTGGTTGTGTGGAGGACCTGTGCGCAGCAGTAGCATGTGGCAGTGGGTGAGCAATTACCCAGCTCACCATGCTGTGAAACCAGTTTGAAAGCTGTGTGACATGAGTGGGTAGCCGGCGCAGCCAGGCACACACATATGCAGAGTGTGTGTGTGTGTGTGTGTGTGTGTGTGTGTGTGTGTGTGTGTGTGTGTGTGTGTGTGTGTGTG